TACACCAACAACAGCTGTACTGGCTGAGACACCTCATAGGTTTTAGTGTCAATATTACACATTCAGTGTGAGAACGCGAAACACCAGTTTCACCGCACGACCGTTCGAGGCTGGACTGGTGCCAAGTTATAACGTTATAAGCTAAACATGCATCTCCCAAACCTGAGAAACATATTACAAATTCAACCTTTAAATTGGTGGGTACAGCTTTAACACGATGGAGAAGGAAAGCCGCCATGTCGGCACAAACAAGCAGGAAATCCATAGGGCGATGACAGTTGCAGGGTATTTCGGGATAGGTTCGTTGTTGTTGTCGCCAGTTAATCAATAGACACCTTTAATCAGTCAGTAGGCTCATGGTCTGATATTGTTCTTAATCAACTAAAATGGTCCATGATGACATGTAACAAAGAAAGGTCAGTCCCGAACGCTTTCAAATGATACCGCTACCGTTAGGAAAAGGGAGCGCTGTTTTGCAGTCTATCAGGTCGAATCCCGATCGTTCTTAGTTCCCCACTCAGTGACGAGCCTGGCCGGTCTGACCCTGTCGTGTATTGATAGATGGACTGAGAGTACGTAAAACTAATGTGAGTATAAAGCTGGTGTTGCGTTTCTTTATTATGCGAGTAGGGGCGGTCGGGTGACAATTCGGATTAAGCGTCGATCGACCAATCACTCCTTGACTGAGATAACCCGATGCTGACAAGGCGAGCTGCAAAGTCATGGATTAACTGACAATGACGACAAGGATTGACAATACGACAATACGTTTAGATAACTGTAGTGGTGTCCCACTTGACGCAGTTACGACAACATATACATATGCACATTAATCTTGCTGTGGAATACGATAACTCGAGAGCCTCCACTCACTCACTGACTGACTGACTGACTCACTCACTCAATCACTCACTTTCCTGGAAATACTTACATGAGATAGGTGCAGGCCTGCATTCCAGTCCAACAATATGTACAGTGCTTCCAAAATCTGAAAGATAAATGTTAAATATATTTATACCTTGTTTATATATTTTCTGTTTTCATAGGGTCAAAGTTTGCAGTCATCAGCAGGTAAAAGAAGTAACCGATAAGCATATCTTCAACTTGTTACGCAAGCCTAGCAGTTTAATGTTTATATCAATCATGTTTTCACGATTGAGACCATCCGAGGTTTAATATCTGGCGTATATTTACCCCTTGAACAGTTACATGAATCTCCACGACTGTTGCCGTTGCGCTCGGCTGACTGTGTTAAATTAGTCCCTGCATGATACTGTATGATACTGTTTGATACAGTGTACCGGTCTGGCTATTCAATAATTAGCAATAGGATAGTCAACTGGTTTTCACATTCCTCACTGACAGGGAACAATTGGTGCGAAGTCCATTCCTAATCATGGCCTGTGAGTATGACGATAATACTATCAAAACACATCAACGTGACATACACGTAAATATATGTTTCAAACTTTCATATAAATTATTCAAGGTATATTTTGGTTTTCTACACTCCTAGAATGTACAGCTATATAAATCTACAAACCCTTTTCCAAGGAGTCATTCTTTGCCGTCAGATACGCGAGTTGCTTCTCGTCTCCTGCCATCACCTAGAAGATAAAGAAGACGACGTCAAGACGTTCAGAGCCAGTGAGAAACTTCACAAAGTGACATAACATTCAAGTCTGTACGTCATCAAACACCAACCGCCCTGACCATGTCCTGAATCACCTGATTCTGATTCTGTGTTGAATCAGGCCAATAAAAGACTGGCTTTAAGACGCTGGTGATCCAAATTTAAGCAATGAAGAATGGAGGGTGTTGTCCCCAAACACATATACAATAGGATTCATGGGACCATTGATTCAATGTTAATAATGTATTAGTTTGTTCGTTATGAGCACAAAACTTAATCTTCATTTGGAAAAATGCCTCATTTATTCAATAATATTTCAAATAAATGTTAAAATTATTTTATCGTTCCAACATCTTATTGACATAATGTTATAGCTTATTTCAATATAGTTCCGTTGGACTACAGACTCTAAATTTGTCATTTTCTCCTTTTCGTTGCCTATCCTTTTCAAACCATAGGCACTAATAACTAGGTTAATTAGTTATTGCCATGATTGGTAAACAAGACAATTAACGTGAAGATTTAAAAGCCAAAAATTAATTATTTCTTTTCTATTTCCGACTTTACTTTTTTACATAAAATAAAAGCGACAAAAAGCCTTCCACATTAATAAGAAATCTCTGCCAAAACCAGAATCGCGTGTACAATTCCGACCATTTCATAAGCATGCGTCCATGTTCCCTTTCGTCCCCATTTATACCTTCAATGTAAGTGTAGTTAAATCTCTGTCCTTCAGGGAGCCCAGCTGGTACCTCCTCAACTGATGCATCAAACCTGTAGGTATGAAGGGGCTGTGACACCCATCTGTAGATTACACAACACAGAACTTGTTATTGACAGTACGTGGTGATACAATCATGTATAGGGCGTATATACTTTTGGCAAATTTACTCTATGTTTCCATTTTAAGAATATGTAAATACTGGTTAATCACATCCAATTGAAGCCATATTTTACTAACTAGAAGATAACTTGGTTTTAGTTATAATACATATCAAGTCAGATTTGAAACTTATTCAATGCTTTGGCAATGATCAATTCATACCTTTCACAGTGTATTGACTTCCCCCTTTCACTCCAGGCAGTTTTGATGTTGTGTCGGGGAACTGTAATTAGGTAGGCGACATTGAAACAAATACAAGGGTAATTATTATGTGGGTTGGTTTTGTTATCACAAAAGACGCTTCTAGCACACCGTACACATTTTCATATCTGTACATTCTCTGGTCTTTGTGTCACGCGTTTACACTTGGAATCGTGTAGTTTTAATCTAATGACAAAATTAAACACGAAGTCTATAATGTTACCAATGAGTGAGTAAATATGGCCTAACTCCCCCTTGAGCAGTATTTATTTCAGTTATATAACAGCATGTCAGGTTGATGGGGGAAGAGTGCTCGAGCTGATGCAGGTGTTAGACGTTTACCTGTTTGGTGAAACCCACGAACACAGGTATTGCGCTGACAAACCAAGAAACTGATTTTGAATGAAGTGACATCGGTTGAGTCAACTGTTTGGAAAAGGTTGCCGACCAAATAAGCTGTATCAGTCAGTGGTTATTATTGTGTTGTGAAACCTCTGATTAACCATTTTAAAAATGTTGAATACACGGCACTGGTGTGGCTGATAGATGTAAACATGTTTCTACCAACAGTTGACAGTACTAATCACTTTAAAACACAGCTTAACTGACACCTTGCATGAAACAACTTTAGCATTAGCGATAAAATTGTAGGACAGTCACCAAACCACAATCAATATGACCATAACCTGTTATCCTTAAAGACAGTTCTCCTTCGAGAGAGCTATATCTTGTAAAACAACTTTGAACTACATTATGTACATTACATTTAGATGACACCAATGATTGACCGTGATACCAACGCTTGTTATTTTTCTAACATTACCCATGGGATGAGTTGACTGTGTGTCACCGTAACCCGCCATGCCGGGCACCATGATATAGTTGACACACTGCATCGTAAAACAACAACCAAACCGAACAATACATGTGCTCATGTATGAACTGATTGAAGCGCCTTAAAAGACGATAACTGTTACCTTTCGCTTTGAGTCTTTCATGAATACTGTCCCTCGCTTGAGTTTAATTCTTCTTGGCAAGTTGCCTTCATCTTGGTCTTCTCGGTGGAAACTGCTAACACTGTCCAACCCTGGTAGCTCCACATTAAACAGGGATAGGACATCCGGGTACCCCATCAAGTAGTCAACAGCGTTCTGCCACTCAACTAGAGGATACAAGATATTATACATCTAACTTGTGTGACTATCGCAATCGTAAATTTCGTTATGTTATCAGACATTCGTCTCTAAGTTAGGCCCATGTAAGAGTAACACTGATGATCGGACGCATTTTGTGAAACACCACTTTAATATACCCACCGCCAAAAGACGCGAATACCATATTGTTAGTTAATAGATGTATGATATTAACTCACTCATATTCAAGAGATATTTGATTGGTTCGATGCACAAACGAACATACTGCTATGTTGTGTGAACCGACGCTCGTGAATGCATGGCATGTGATGGTATAAATCCATGACTCGATATGCGTGTTAAGTTTGGATGTCACGTGCAGCATATTGTGTTAGAATAAAGTCATGCTGCGGTAACACTTGACTGATTGTTAGTTTTGTCATTAATTGGTACACACTGGGAACATCTCTTCTTAACGTACATACATCTCTATAGGTTTTTATGGTTCGCGTTCCTTTTGGCGGCGACTAGATATAAGCATAAATCAATTTACACTTGCCGTGTGTCCAACCCTCAGTTTGTAGTTTGTCGAGTTGTCTCGTTTTGTAATCTCTGTTCTGAAACCAAAGGAACTGGCAGTAGCAGTGAAAGTAGCATCAGAGTCACCACCCTCACCGTTTCGATTATGTTATGATATTAATCTTTCCACATTTCTCTGTTGAAGATAATGTTAAGCTTGAATATGATTTGAAGCAGTTTGAAATATTTGCAGTTTGAATTAACGACCAAAAGATATTCATAGTTGTTTCGATATTTCTGTACAAATCTTCAAGAGTGTAAGAATATGTAAATGGTTACCGATTTTAAACTGCCCAATTCTTCATTTAGAGATTCAATCTCTTGCATTCCTGGAGAAGAAACAAATGGATTACTGTAGTACATACAACAGTGGATATGTGTTCACGTGACTTACTGAATATATCATGTTTCCTATGCTGAAATTAACACTAAACAACATATATGGAAATGTTTTACCACAACATTTGAGAAATAGAAGGTTGATTGCAATTGTTTATAAATGGTAATTCAACCAGCTGTTATGGGTTGGTGATATAGATACTTACGACTCTCTGCCTCGCCAACATCTGTGTCCTGGACTTCCAGTGCCTCGCCAACATCTGTGTCCTGGAGTTCCAGCTTGTCTTCAGTGTGGATATCCTCCAGGGGCTCCTGAAAATAGTTTCAATCTTCAAAAGTGTTTGTTTAGGATTGTCGGTGTCGGAATGTTCCACTATGTAAACTGCGTGTGTAATGAATCGTTTCTTTATGATCAACATCATGTGTGCAACGAATCATGTTAGTTGATATGGAAGCCGGATGCAAATTCCCAAAAGCCCAATGTATGCCCCTTGTCGTAACACGGTGGTACTGGTGTTTGATCTTCCTCCCTAAACTAATGCAACTGACAAGTAGATCACTGTTAAACCAAGCTCTAGACCATGCACTTTAAGCGGACAGCCAGGAAGCACATTGAGATAATATCCAAACCATATTGCAGTCTTTTGACAAAACACATCATGGCACCTACCGTTGAAGAAGACACATTTCGTTTACTCTCCCGTGTCACATAGATCGTCTCAGGATCTTAAACAACAATAAATACATACGTTTGTCTTAAACAATAACTGTTCATATTCCACCTTCCTTCACATAGATACAAGTATGTACATTTCTGTAAACAAATTTATATGTTTATATATGTCCTCTTTTATGTGTTTCCTTTTGTTTTTGTTATTTGATACTTGACCCATGAAGATCCGGATCAGAATAGGTCTTCAGTAACCCATGCTTGCTTACTATGCTTATTATGCTTGCCGTAAGAGGAGACTAAGGGGATCGGATGGTCACGATTGATGCGTGTCATCGTATCCCAATTGCGTGGATCATTGTTCATGATGTCAATCACTGGATTGTCTGGTTCAGACACGATTATTTACAGACGGCCGTCATATAGCTGGAATATTGCTAATTGAGGCGTTAAACAAGAAACAAAATAAAATCAACAACAACAAAAACTTGATACTATAATAATTAATAAGAGCTGTAAAAGGCTGTAAAAGTGTACCTGTTTTTATGAATGTCCGTGGTCAATTAGTTTATATGTGTTCGTCCACATAACCAATAATCATGAAAGTGTGAATGTGAAAATTCCCTTCAATTAATACCAAAACCAAATTACTGATGTAAATTATCTCCCTTTACTATTTATTTACAGAGATATCCAGAGATGTATTATTGTGGATATATTTTGACATTTGTCATCTTACAAAATGCGTATATTTTGGATATATTAATCATTCCAAGAAATATAAAATGAAGATACAAGCTTTTATATCAACGTTCTTCGTCCTGTGTTAGTTGATCCCATAAAGTGTGCTCATATAAGTAACACAAATTTATGACTTATAATCTGGGTCGAACTTGGTAATATGATCTAAGTCAACAGAGTTGCGTCCCTTAGCCTTGGTCGATCTGACTCTTGGTTTGTAAGCCTGAGAGGGACCTTTGTGGAGCCAATTTGTTCAATATTCATACCTAATCACTCACCCCACGACCTGAGTCTCTTGAGGTTTCGAAAGTTATCAAGTTGAACACACTGTGCTATTACTGAAATATTGCCCCAATTGACTTAAACATAAATTAAGTTACATGTACATCAACTCAAACATCTGTACATATAACTGGAATATGAATGGGTCAAAAAGTAAAATCGGTACTGCAAACGTTTCTGTTATCAACTATTTAATGAAAAGGGTTTGTTCCAGTTAGCAACGGAAGAATACAATTACAAGCATAATAGGACCAAATGATATAAATCTCAAACACACAGTCTGCATTATTTTGGAAAATGATGATAATGTCTACTTACCTTTCTCAAGGTAAGCCAGTTTAACGCCTTGATAGATGAGATTGGTTCTGTCCTTTACCATAACCTGAGACAAAGAAACAAACCATTTACAAAGTGACGCAATACTAGTAATTAATAATATTTGTACAAATCGTGCGTTATTTAAACCTAATGTATGCTTCACGAGAGTTTAGCCTTAATTATGGTTTGCCATTTGTATTCTAATATAGACCTGGATTCTTACCGATCGTAAAAGATGAAAAACACTCTTTTCTTGTTCCACTTTTTCTCGCAATGTAACCAGTTCTGCTTCTTGTAGAACCGGGTGTTGGTTACCAAAGAAAAATGCTGGAAATATTTAATAAAATCTTAAATATATGTAACTTAAACAAAACCACGAATAATATAGCAATTGCCTAAACAATACTTTGCAAATTGTCAGTTATTCAAGTATATTATCAATAATTTTATCAATGGCAATGGTGGATAATAATCTGATTAACTTTATAGTTAATAGTTTAGCTACACAACTTTACACTATAATTAGAAATTAATAAAACGTTTTCCAGAATAGCAAATCAGAAAAATCAAATTCATATAAATTCGACAACCAAATCAGTCAAAGTAGATTGAAAGGCTCTAAAGTAGATATGAACGAACTTCATATAATATTGGCTTTAAACTCATTGCCATTTAATCTATTATTTTATGTGTCCAGAACAAGATAATACATGGCACATGATGTTCGCAGCCCTTCAAAAGAGCAGAGTCGCTTGTACGAGTCCAACTATATGACTAACATGTGTTAATGAATCACTATCAAATAGTGATGATGCCAGATGTTCGCGAAAAAGTGAGCGTATCCTTCCCCATTGACACCCGTCACAAACACTTGCGTAGGCAAGTCAATTGTTCTCTTGAAAGAACGTGAACATATGTTACAAGTCGAAATAAGGAATTGCATCGGAAATAATATTTGCCACTAATGCGTCAAATTTTGAAATGTCCTTCATTTGTCTTCCATAATACTTTTTGAAAGACTTACTGAAGCCTTGAATATTGTAACCTTGATTAGACAAATTTTAAGCAAGAGTCGTATGACGCTCTTTGACATCTTTTTAAGAACGATTGTACCTTAATAGTTGTGAAATGTAGACACGAAAGGCTGGAGCTGCTGGTTGGTTGGTTGGTTTGTTGTTTAACCCCGCACTCAGCAATATTCCAGCTATATGACGGCGGTCTGTAAATAATCGAGTCTGGACCAGACACTCCAGTGATTAATATCATGAGCATCGATCCACGCAATTGGGATTGATGACATGCATCAACCAAGTCAGCGAGCCTGACCACCCGATCCCGTAAGTCGCCTTTTACGACAAGCATAGTCACCTTTTACGGCAAGCATGGGTTGCTGAAGACCTATTCTACCCCGGAATTTTCACGGGTCTGGAGCTGCTGGAATATTGTCCACATAAAGGGAGAGTTGACTATTGGAAAGCTGAAGTCATCCCCCTGAAAATCATGACAATACTCACATCCTGCACCAGTTGAAGTACTGTCCCTAGTCTGTTGACGTGGCTTGTTGTCCAAACTGTCCTTATTTTGGTGAAACTGAAACCACCAAATGACGAGTGATCCGTAGAGGATTTTAAATTGTTTGAATCTTATTTATAACTTTATCGTGATTGCAGTCAAATCTTGTTAATGAATACACAATGCCATTTAGAAAGTGCTAAAACTATCTGCAATTGTTTGTCACATAGTTTGAGCACATACTTTGTATATACATGTAAATACTGTAAATTATTTAACTTAAGATTTAACGAATGTTATATTTGGGATAACACTTTCTTGGTAAAGTACAGATTCTCGTACTTTTTGGGGGTTGAGTCCCGTCCGGCATTGTGCAATGGCATTGTGTATTCATAGCTTTCGGCCATGGGAGCCGTGCCCATTTACACTTGTCAGGAGGGTACTCAAAGTACGTGATCTAGACTACCAGTTGTCGGACTTTCATTTTTGTGGCTGAGTGGGTTAGATCGCTGACTTTGTGTGCCGGCGATTAGGTGCCTCACCCTGGCAAGTGTGGGTTCGAATCCCGGACGGGACTCAACCCCAAAAAAGTAAGAGAATCTGTACTTTACTTAGAAAGTGTTATCCCAAATTTAACATTCGTTAAATCTTAAGTTAAATAATTTACAGTATTTACATGTATATACAAAGTATGTGCTCAAACTATGTGACAAACAATTGCAGATAGTTTTAGCACCATTTGCTGTTGTTACAGAGTGGTCACAAAGCGACTTTGAAAAAATATTTATGTTCTTAATAACGTAATTACTCCCAATAAGATCTACTTACAGCCACATGTGGTCTAAGCTTCTCCATCATCAACACCAGCACGTCAAACTCTCCAAGGAGATATTTCATCCTTCGTCTCCATTGATCTGAACAAGTTTAATGAAGAAGATTTATAATGTGATAAAATGACTGAACATCGCTATCCTCACAACTCATCATCACCAATCACTCCACATACCTAAATTATTTAAGTTTGTCATAGACTATTTTATTTCAGAGTTATTTTGTTTACTTAAATAAAAAGTTACCGTTGGTAAATACATCCATTAGTTTCTCGATTCTGGCAGTCTCCTGAAAAATCAAATTGAAATGTTCTTGCAACATCAGTGATAAAGCAACGACCATATTTATTAAATGGAATTGCAGAGATACAGGTTGTCTGGGAGTTAATGTCTTTGATAGGAACTTCAAAGTGAGAGAAAAATGCATCTAAGAAGTTTACAGTGCCATGTGCTACATAATAGTAATGACATGGCCCACTCAGAGCAAATCGTTTACACGTACAGTATCAAAGGTATTTAATTGATGGAGGCACATGGAGTACATTCCACTGTTATATGTACATTTTCATAATGAAACTATAGTATACATTACCTTCTCTACCATCCACTTTCTGTACTTAAGCTGCTTGATATCAGTTAGATCTGAATTAAACGGAATGATCTTGCTTATTCAACGAAAGTAGTAATAATTGATTATGTGATAACATGAAATAAATGTGTGTTCATTATCTTATGTATCACACCAGGAATATATAGCATAAGCGTGTTTTGGGGGAAGCAGACAAGAACATTTAAAGATACATGTACTTACAGTTTCCAAATTGCCAATGGTGACGTCTTGTTTCCGGTGTCACACTGTTTGTTTCATCAACAATGTTCACGTATGAGGACAGATCCAGTTTTCTGAGGTCGTTCACTGATACCACTGATGCATAGGCTGACCTGGAAGTATGGTCGATTAAGTCATTGACAGAAACAAGCAGAAATAATTAACTCAATCTTGAGTTCAAATCCTTAGATATTCCAATGTATACTTTGTTGAGAGTGCTTTGATTTAGCTACTATGATATTAACAAACCTGAGTCTGTCCCTCTCTTCCCGTGACCTACACACCAGCAGAGTGTCCCCCAGCCTGCTCAGTCTCCTGGCCACCTCCAGCATCAGAGTCGTTGCCCCGCTACCTGGCACACACCGGACCTGGACATCCTTACTGTTAATGTTCTCCACCAGAATGATACATTGTTCTTTGGTGAGAAATCTTATACAGTCATCATTTGCGTCACCATTATCTTTAAGCACCGACTTTGTCTCAGCAACACCCGCCCAAAACGCTGTCAGGACTCTATCATATCTCCTAGGATTCATTAACAATGAACGCATAGGAACAAAATGAGAAGAATCGTCAGCCAAAACCTTCAGGCGAGTTTTGAATGCGACACTATCCTTGAGAGTCGACGTATTGATCACTCCATGTATTGAGTTCACATCTTCATCCATGAATCTCATGAGTTTATGTCTCACTCCTCTCGCCACAGACGTATTGTATGCCAACGCTTCCCTTGACTCTTCATCACCATCAACGAGTGACAGGACCATAGTTTGCTTAGTGGGAAAGGCTATGAACACATCACACACGGCATTACTTGGACGAGGTGATGTGGTAAAATCCAGAGCAACTGATAAAGTGTCTGATAAGAACATGAAATATGGCTTAGTCTTTGGAAAGTTTGTATTCTCTACTTCTTCATCAGTTCTGTGATCCAAACCTAAGACAAACACATGGTTTTCTACAAGTTCTAAGAGGCAGTCTTTCACGTTTGTCAACGTGGTTTCAAGTTCCAAGGGTTTTATGTTTCGACCTTCTGAAAACAAATAGAAGAAGTAATAATGGAAACCTTTTAAATTTTGTGTCGGAAATTATGCTCTGTGATGGTAGTAGAACTCAGTTCCCTCTTTTGTGCCCCTGTTGACTGAATTTGACACAAGAATCTATGTATTGGCACAAAAGTACCACCTACATGTCACTAAACATCTAAAGTAAACTTTTGACAGTAAAATATCCCTCCAAGAATAAGTGTTCATTGCTGTGTCTGATGAACAGTTGAATTGTTTCTGCATATGTTTGTCACAGGTGCCATCGGTGAGGAAGGATACGCCCACCTTTTCGCGAACACTTGGCATCATCACTCTTTCATAAACACATGGTTATAAGACAGTTGAAATCGCTATGCTATAGTTTGTTCTGAGATTCATTGTTTACCAATGACTCTCGTGACCAATTGCGAAACTTTTTACCATTACATTGGCAATATATAAGTCAATATGTTTAAATTAAATTAAATGAATTGTTGTGTAATGTCCAGAACTATCAACAAACTCTTTACTCTTAGTAATTAACACCATTACCTTTAGGAACGAAGTATCTCCGGATCTCGAAGATGCTGTTTCCAATTTGCTTCAGGTCAGGTCGGAAGAAATCGTTTGTTGCCAAGGCAAAGCCGTGCTCCTCATCTTTTGCAATTTGTTTCTATAATATAGAATCAAAACGTGAAACTTATCCTTAGTATACCACAGTTGTCATTTCAAGAAATTCATTTTGAAGCTGGACACTCTATGATATTATGGTAGGATATGTTAAATGTACATTTTCTTCTATATTTGAGGGAAATGTTTACCAGAAAAGTGATAATAATTTAATGCTGTTAAAGATGGAGGCTAAACATACCAGTAGCTTCAACATTTTGACGAGGATACGTATTGGCCCTGGAAAAGTTAAAATATAACATAAGAGTACCTATAGCACTCTGAGTGTAGAAAAGAACATACAAAGAAGCGAGCTAGCAAGCAGCAATATTTCTGTTCATGTTAGACATAAAACAATTAATCTTTTCCATAATATATTTAAACATATGACACTAGGAAGTTTGAAACGCATTACGTCAGAATTTGACCTTCGACAATACGATTAGTAAATACCTCAGAGTTTAGAGTAAATGTGTGTTTTCAGTTTTGTAGAGCTTTTGATGAAAGATTTGACACATAACATCTAATATTCTGACTGATTATTGATTGTTATCACAATTCATGAATTAGAATTTTCCAGGGATTACAACAGGATTCTGAAACTTCTGTTTTAAAGAAATTGAACAGCATGTTACCAATCTCATAACAAGAATAGAAAATATTACCAAACAATAAATAATTCAATGGGATCATTACCTCCTTTCTTGTCTAGTGTGTCAGCTCCGTCTATTTCCCTCGTGTGAAAGCATGGAACCATTCAAGGGTTTCCATCCGGATGACTGACTTTTTTGTTGGATCATATTTGTAAGCCAATGGTCCCCGTGGATCGTAAAACACTACACCATTCACGTGTTTTACTAAAATATGAATAATGTACTGTTCCTTTGTTTCGGACTTGTGATTTCTAAGTTCACCACTGCAACACAGCTCTGTAACATTTGACGGACAGGGGATAAAACGTATGTCTACTGAATGTGCGTCAGTCACTTTCTTTCCATCAAAGTCACACACAAGAACAGTGTCGCAAATCTTCTGCTTCAATGTCTCCTTCAAACAGTCTTGCTCATCAACACTAAAAGGCTGGAGACGGATTTCTTTTGACTCGTATCCATATTCACTTTTAAAAACACATTCCTCTTTGACACCATAGAGGTACGAACCACCATTTTCAAGTTTGCTCAATGCACTTATGTACTCAGTAATGTTAAGATTCTTAATAATATAAGCAACTATTTCATGATCCCCTTTCTTTTGGAGAAAGTGACTTTTCATTTGAATTGACCTGCTTTCATATGCACCTACAACATCATTTGCAGTATGTATTTCCTTAGGTAGAGTGAGGGAAGTGCCTTTGACGTTTCCTTTTTCTCTGATAAATGTTCGTAGTGTATCCGCAGGAATGTCAACAATGCAGTCATCAAGTGCAATCTTGGTTTTAAAGTCAGATGTTGTGACGGAGGAAGAAGCACTGACATAAAGAGCTAGGAAGTCACCGAAATCACAAAGCACCCTGTGGCCACTCAGCTTTTCCTTCCGGTAAACATCAGTAAATAATTGACCATCATGAATCAAGTCGTGAAGCTTTGCATCCACAAACTCATCGAATGCGCCAGTAAAATGATCCCCAGGTGCCAGGCCAACAAGATGAATTAATATACAACCAGAGTTGGAGTTGCGCAAGGCAGATACCTTTTCCAACAGCTGGTGGAGTTTACGATCTCTTTTCTCCCTTTTCTTCTTTTTGTTATCGTCCTTTTGCCCTACACCATACAGGTACTTAACATGAATCCCAATAGTCAAGATGATTTCAGTGGAAGAACACTGGAGGAAATTAGAAACTGCTTCATCAGACCGTGGAATATGTTCACTGAAAAGGAAATATACATAGACTTAGAAACTGGTAGATAACAAGTGTATCGGGACCAAATTACAAAACAACCCCTTGAACAATCCAGTTCACATCACGTTTATTTTGATGATAATTAATTCCAGGAAATAACCTATACTTTCGCATATAGTGTGTTCACTATATTGTAGTACGTTTGTTTTGTTTGTTTGTTGTTGTTTTAGGCCGCACTCAGCAATATTCATTATTTGATAAAATGTGACTTATTTAGTGTTCTATCTATAGAATGAACATAGGCACTGTAACCATATATCTGCTTCAAGAAAAAATAGACTTAGTCTTCACAATGACATGTGACATATGCGTACAGCAGAATAGGTATTTATCAATTATCACACTTAATATGACCACAAAACATCTGATTTAGAATTAATTGCCATCAAAGGAATTTGAAGAACATGATTGAGTACACATTGTTTGGATTGATAACAATATAAAGGGAAATGGAAATTATGGTTAAGCCTCTATTCACATACAACAAACGCTAATATAGTCTTGAGGATTCGACACGAGTATTGTTATAACAGACACAAACGCATTGAGGAATAATTCAGGGAGAGTTACAAAGTACTGTAAATTTAAGACACCAAATTATATCCTTACACAGTAGCAATTTAAATGTTTCACAAAAAGTGCAAATATCCTGAGATAAGTAACTTACACCCAGTTACATAACATAATTGAAAACCGTTAAATTAGAACCATCTTTTAGCAATAAATAGTATGAATCGACCGCATAAGGTGTTTGAAATACTCACATCAGACAATCCTTGTGCAATATTTCTTTAGCTCTTAAATCCTTGGTGAACGATGTAGAAGTGTTACCGTCTCTTGCATACAGTATACAATCAATTTTGACGTTAGCACGAACACATTCAAATCCTGTTAGTGTGTCGTCCCCTTCTTTTCTGTATATTATGTCCTGGTCCTTCGCGAACACAAAGACATATGTAAAACCTGATGGTAACTTGCTTCCATGTCTGAGATACGTGACTCTCTCCCCTTTGATGCCAACATCCACACATTCAAAGCCTGTTGGAATTGTTTCTCTATGTGTCACATATCTGATGTCATCGTCTCTGACATACACAGTCACGTGTGAGTCTGGAGATATTTCATCTCCACAGTAATTGCATAATAACATGACATCTGAACAATACCTTGGGTAACATAACACTTTGTAAAAGAACAAATAAATGTTGTTGTGAAATGTGCTCGGTAGTCATTCTTATAGGCCTACAGCAGATAATGCGTCCACACACCACGTGATTCACAGCCAATACGTATCAAGGAAATTAGGCCACACCAATACTGATAAACCACCCAAGGTCAAGTCAAGATAAACTAGACCAATTTTGAAAAGAAATTTTCATGGCGATGAACACTTATGAAAAGCATTAACAGAGAATCCTGTTTATTTTCTAGAATGAAAAACAAACAAACAGTACTTCGACAAATGACACAAAGTGATTGTGAAGTATATTCCAAGCGTCTTGTCTGATTTGTTTCACATTTAAATTGTCCAAACATTTTTGTGTCTACATTTACATAATTGTGTATACATGTAGCCTAAATTAGAAGTAGGGGCGGTCGATTAGTCCAGCGGTTAAAAGCGGCGTAAAACCATTCTCACTCACTCACTAACTTCAAAGTAGACATTTATTTTGGCTTGGTTGAACAAACAATGCTTACTGTTATTAAGAACGGTACACATAATTGATTTTAGCATGATGCATACATCACTATGCTTTACATTAAAAAAACGTTGTTGTTTTACGATTGAAAACTTATTCTACATAAGTAACAAAAACCTTTAAATATTCATAAGAAACCTAGCCACAATTCCGACCAGATCATGAGCATTAGTCCATGAATCACCATCAATAGTGATGATACCAGGTGTTCGCGAAAGGGTGGGCGTATTCTGCCCAATCGGTGGCACCCGTCACAAAAACTTGAAAACATGGCAATATTCATCTAAAAAACACGGGAACATATGGTTCAAGTCAAATTAGGGAAGTGCATCAAACATTCATTTTTGTCACTGATGCGTCAAATTTTAAAATATCATCCACACGTCAACCACAAAACCTTTTGAAAGCTTCTTTGAGGCATTGAATGTCGTAACCTTGATCAAATAACTTCTGAGCAAGAGTTGTATGACCCTTTCTAAATCTTCGTAGAAAGAGCAGGTTGTGAATTGTAGACATCAAAGGCTTGAGCTGCTGGAATATTGTTCGACAAGAAGGGAAAAGTGACAAAAAGAAAGTTAAAGTCCCTCTTGTCATACAATCTTGTGGATAGTGTTTTGTCACTCTGAATCACAATTTATAAGGCTCGCCAACTGAGATACAACAGTTTAACATGAATACCACACTCAGACACAGTATACTGACTCTGAGCCGACCAGTCCTTGTTTTAGCTCCTTAAGGCAGAGCACCAGACAGGGTAACAACAAGTACCATCTTTTAACGTCTTTTGGTATGACGAGTCCGGGGACCGAACCCCGGACCTTCCGCTCTCCGGGCGGACGCTCTACCTCTAGACCACGGAGGCGGTCTATAAGAGATAAACAACTAGTGGTCGTTGTTTATCGTACAATAAAACACTGCAGAGAGATTAAACCATGAGGGGCTGCGCCATTGAACGATAAACAACTCCCACTCGTCCTGTACTTCTTAAATACAGATTAAAATAAATAAATGTAGCAAAGAGGGTTTGGGTGAACCTGGCACATTCATGCTGGCCAGGCTCATCATCAGCTCAGGGCCCTTGCCCCCTCTACATGCAGCCCAGACAGCGAATGGGACTTCTCCCAGGAAGCGCTGCCTTGTCAAACCCACCCAGAACCTTTCGGAGAATGTCAAGACTCCCCAACACTGCAGCCTTCAGCGCTACCCAGATTGTCAGAAGGGCTGTATTCCTTGCAGCAAATCCGGGTATTCTTCCAGTGTCAGTCAACAGATTGGGAGGTACCAAACCTAAGGCACCGAGAAGAAAAGACATGATCAGGTAGGTTGGCCTGGATAGGTCTGAGGCTGTATACGGGCCTATTCCAAAGAAGTTGGCAAACAAAATACGAGTATATTCCAACAAAATCATGGGGAGGGACACCATTAGGCTCTTAATGAAGCCACGTGAAGGGCTTATTACATAGATGTAGATGTAAGAAGTCGGGCAATGAATGGGAGGCAATAACAGCTATTGATTAATTTTCAAACTTTAAACTTGATTACATTAGAAAACATTGAATAGAGAACCCCAACAATTGAAAAAAGTTGCACTATATACCTATTTACATGCCTTGCAAACGTGTGCATATCTTGCAAAATTCTATACTCTTGGAAATGTCATGAAAATAATAACTGTCCTACCTGTTACAAGGATTGTGCAGATTGATTTATATTCTGGTTTGTACCATTGCTCTCAAATGTAGCTTTATCCCACCAATTTAGTTATTAGAAATTCAATTATGGTGCGTCTTGGCACCCAGTGCAGGTTTCCACATGAGAGTTAACAACTATAATAGCGATATGTATCTCCAATTGGAGCGAGAATAATATTAATCTTGACTGACTGCCTGAACATGCTGTCAGCCCGTTAATGGTCATTAGCAACAGCGTTACCGGTCCTCTCTGACATTCGGAGCGGAAACCTCCCCTACCCAGCGCAGCTGAAACGTAGAAACGTATGTTTTATTACAAGGATTTGTTTGTCGTTTTTGCGTAAATCATAAGGTTGCACATTTCCCTCCCTTTTCCAATGAAGAGTGGCATTCTTACCCGGATCGTCACGGGGGAACGCATTTTATACGTGTGCAGCTGTTTATTGTAGCCATTATATTAAAAGGGGGCACGGGTGGCCCAGTGGTCTAATGCGCCGCAATTCGCTGTGCAGAGTTGCGTTCCTTGGGCACGCCAGAAACCTATAATTGCGGGTTCGAATCCCGGTTCGCCCCGATTATGTTTCTAGGTTTGTCAGCACCATATCCGTGCTCGTGGGTTTCACCGAAGTGGTAAACGTCTAAGAACTGCATCACTTCGGGCTTTCCTCCCACATTAAGCTGACACGCCGCGATATAACTGGAATACTGTAAAAAACGGCGTTAAACACAACTCACTCACTCACTAAAATGATCATTACAGGTGCATTGAGAAGGTTGTGTTAGGAATTTTAGCTAATGATGGAAAAGCAGTGCATTAATGTTAATGTTAATGACAGCTATGGCTTGCTGACGGTTGCATAACGAAGGACGTTTTGGCAATGAAGTTCATCTTCATGATAGATTGCCACGAAACCAAACAACAATACACGATGGCACCCGTCACAAACACATGCACAGGCAAGTTCATTGTTCAGCTGAAAAAAACAAGGTACAAGTTGTCATTTTTGTCAACGGTGTGTCAAATTTAGAAATGCCCTCCGCATGCCAACCATAAAACTTTTACTGAAGCCTTGGATGTTGTAACTTTGATCAAACAACTTCTGAGCAAGAATCGTATGGCGCTCTTTGAAATCTTGGTAGAATGCACGTGCTCGATTGTACCTCAAACGCTGTGAAATGGTGACACAAAGGGCTGGAGCTGCAGGAATATTGCTCGACATAAAGGGAAAGTAGACTATTGACTGTAGTAAAGTCATCCCTCTTGTCATACAGTCTTGCGGAGAGTGTTTTGCAACTCCGAATCTTTATGCATAAATCGGAGGGCAGGTGTGGCCCAGTCATCTAAGGCGATTCGCTGTGCAGAATTGCGTCCCTTGGACACGCCAGAAACCTATGATTGTTGGTTCGAATCCCGGTTCGCCCCGATTATGTTTCTAGGTTTGTCAGCACCATACCCGTGCTCGTGGGTTTCACCGAAGTGGTAAACGTCTAAGACCTGCTTCACTTCAGGCTTTCCTCCCACATTAAGCTGACACGCCGTGATATAACTGGAATACTGTTAAAAGCGGTGTTAAACCCAACTCACTCACAATTATGCATAAATCTGAATATGTACTTCTAGCCTAAATGCCTTACTCCCAAATTATACACAGATGTTATCAATGAAAAAGTCCTACATTTCACAATGTGTTTTCTCAGTAAACTTCAGATGACATTTGCTTTCATTTTGGACAAATTGATCTGAACCTCTGAAGAGAGATACACAACTATATCGCTATGCAATGTATTAAAGTATTTTGTTTTGTCCAGATATCAATTCGGGTATGTGTTTGTCGACTCAGTTGACGATTGACCTTAAATGTGGTCGATTGTGACAATCAAAGTTACACGAACACCTGCTCTGGTTTAATCACGAGGCTGATTTATATAACGTCGAGTAGAGTATTTTGATTGACATTTCGTGATAACGTATTGCATAGTTATGAGCCAAGTATCGCATGTTCTCGTTTATCTGTCTGGTATTACAGATAACTCTTCACATGTCGTGCAGGGGCAGTTATCAAGATAAACCATGAATTCAAACATGAAACACAATGTACAGACTTTACAAAACGAGGGTTTGTTGGTTGGTTGGTTTGTTGTTTTATGCCGCACTCAGCAATATTACAGCTATATGAGGGCGGTCTGAAAATAATCGAGTCTGGACCAGACAATCTAGTGATTGATATCATGAGCATCGATCCATACAATTTGGATCGATGACATGCTCCAACCCGTCAGCGAGCATGACCACCCGATCCCAAGAGTCGCCTTTTACGGCAAGTATGGGTCCCAACACGGGTCACAACACGAGGGAAACAGTACCCCGTCATTTTAACACTATCAGTGAGAATATGTGGTTGACATATTTCAGTGAAATGTTTCAGTCCGACAGTACAAACCGCAAGGACGATCAGATTAATACTGAAGACCCGCCTTTAGATGAAATTGATTATATTATCCTAGAATCGCCTATTACAGAGGAAGAAATAGAAAAGGCTCTTCATCATATACAAAATGGCAAATCTGCGGGCATAGATGAGATTTTGATCTACAACTCTGGTATATTTCCTTCAGTTTGGATTCCAGTCTATTATAGTACCGCTACATAAGAAGGGAGATACGAAGACAACTACCGGGGGATTTCACTATTAAGTGTTATAAGTAAGATATATATGGGTGTTCTCAATAACAGACTTTCCAATAGGGCAGAACTAGAGGACAAAATACCAGAGTCACGGGCAGGTTTCCGATCTGGGTATTCCACCATCGATCATATTTTT